ATGCAAGATTGAGAATTTTAAGTGTTTTTTAAAGCATTTCCTTCTGCAAATGTTAGGAATTAACTGCTGTGACTGAACCACCTTAGAAATGTGGGAAGTGCAAGTGTTAGCACAAGGAGTCTCCTGTATCTGACAAAGTAGTATGTTGCATATGAAAGCTCATGCCTCTGAATCAGTTAATCTCTAAGGTGCTACTTTGACCTGCCTTCTGTCAGTTTTCAGTAATTCCAAAGGCACTGCTGATGTTGTATCCAGTGACTCCAGATTAAAACTCTTTCCTTTCTAGACAAATTAGTGAAATCTTTGACAAAGCTGGCCAGTGAATGTGCCAGAGCACCATGCTTGATTTCACTTACTAGTCTGATGAGGTACAAGTTTCCATTTACTCCATGCAATGTCTGTAAACCCCTGACCTGGCTAAGGAGAGCAGTGGGGGAAGGAAACAAGGGTTCATTCTGTATCCACGGGCAAGATGACTTCAACAGTAAGTTTTCAACCACTGTCAACAAAGTACCTTATGTTTATCAAGGCAGATTTTTTTCATTATATACACAGGTATATGTTTTTTAAATATAAATGGTCATTTGAGAGTCCACAATACTGCTTTTTACATATGTCTATGAAATTTCTGGAAACGTTTAGTTTGTATACTGTGCTGAAAATTCTCTCAAATGAAGTGTGAACCGTTTAGATTATTTGTAGAACCCTTTAGCTCCTTCTAAATACACTCCCTTTCTTTCAGCTAAGAATATCTTTGTGTGTAATACAACATTATAAAGTTATAATCTTTAGTTTGTGCTTGGGGTGGTAGGGAAGTCCAACCAATTCAAACTGGACAAGAACATTTGGAACTTCTGAAAATCTGAAAATTTAGAAAATATGAGAAGAGGGATGGAAAAAGAGGCAAAACACTGTACATGCTGCTAGACTGCACTGTAAAGGCTCATCAATTTTAGAAGTTTGAGCTGGATTATATATAAATGCAGTGGCAAGGATGATAGGAGATGGCCCAGCAGAGAACACTTGTCTCTCATGTCACTAACCCTCTTGATGATGAAGATAGCATCTGATACATCACAGTAGATTGCTTTTGGTCTGCAGTTATAAGCAAACAGCATAGGTTAATCCTGCTCTCAGCTGCACCTGGTGAATTCCATTAAAGATAATGAGGCTGCATAAAAATATATGAGAACAGAATTAGACCTCATGCTTTCCTATCCATTTAAGGCCTGATTTTGCTATCTTTGGCACTTGCAAAGGGGTCCTCGCAGAATGAAGCCAGAGTGGCAGGGCTGGACTCCAGGCTACAGTGGGTGCACTGCACAATGTCATTTGGCTTTAGAGGCCTTTCTAGCGATATTCTCCTTCATTTGATAAGGGAGTGCTTTGGAGCCAGTGAGCTCTCCAGAGGTAGAAAGAGCTTTTAAAGTCATCACTGCCTTTGGAATAGGACATTATTTAGAGTCTGCCTGTACTAAAGAATGTGCTGGGCTTTGATACAAATGCTCTCACAAATCTGAATGTGTGGCAGTGAGTGGTGAAGGGAAAGTCTGGAGCAGAAGTTTAATTTCTGAGAAATGTGAATCAATTAAAAAAAGTACTGGAAAAAGAAAATCCCAAGCTTCAAAGCCTTCCCTCCGTGGGTGCTGCTGAGTCTAAGATCATTAGGTTTGCCACTAAATTAAATACTGTAGTGGGATCCCTGCTTAGAAAAACAGTGCGCCAGGGCACAGCAGGGGCACATTTTTCAAATAGCCTCGCACTATATGCGAGCAGATCTGTTTGCGTAAGATAAACTCCATGTTGACCTGTACCAGGTAATGCACAATGTGTGTCGTGGAGAAAACTATTAGGCCTGCGCAAAGCGGTTAGTATTGGCTTCAGATTCAGCTGATTTGGGGGACAGTGATCTGATTTGGTGATTCGAATCGCTGTCCTGAATTGATTCAGCTGAATCCGATTTGGAGATTTGGCTGCTGCCGAATCTCTGAATCGAACAGGCCCCATCCCCTGCCCACTCCCAGCCCTGTCAATAGCTGCCCTGCCCACCCCAGTGAGCTGGCACTTGAAAAGAAAAGAAATCCCTGCCCTCCCTGGTTCCTGCCAGGCAGGGGTGATCCCTGCTGCCCTGCGCTGTGCAGGGGGCTCTGATTCTGAACTCAATCATTTGGTGGTCGCTGCTGCCTAAGTTGCCCCATATTTCTACACTCCCCACCACATCCTCCTCATTTGTGAGCAGCGGATCAAGAAGAGCACAGCTCCTAATTGGCTGCTCCAGCACTTGCACCAGGAAGCTGTCTGCAACACTCTCCAAAAACTTCCTGGATTGCCTGTGGATTGCTATATTGACCTCCCAGCAGATGTCAGAGTGATTGAAGTCCACCATAAGAACCAGGAGCTGTGATCTGGAAACACCTGCTAGCTGTCTGAAGAAAGCCTTCTCCTCCCTGCCTGGTGATTTATGGCAGACACCTACCCACAACATCACCCTCGTTGCTCTCTCTCCTCTGACCCTAACCCAGGGATTTCCACAGGCCTGTCTCCAGTTTCAGACTGGAGCTCTGAGCAATCATATGGCTCTTTTACATAAAGTGCATCCCCTCCTCTTCTTCCCTGCCTGGCCCTCCTGAACAGTTTGTACCCATCCATGACAGTGCTCCAGTCATGCGAGCTCCCACCAAGTCTCTGTTATTTTAATCACGTTCTAGTTCCATGACTGTCTAGGACCTCCAATTCTTCCTGCTTGTTTCCCAGGCTCTGTGAATTCACGTGGACACATCTGAGGTAATTAACTGATTGCCCTACTTTCTCAGGAAGGATGAGAAGGCCTCCTCTGTTGCCCCCTCCTGCTTGTGCTTCCTCCTGGTCACCTGCTTCCCCACTACCTCAGGGCTTTGGTCTCCATTTCCTAGTCAACATAGTTTAAAGCTTTCCTCACCAGGTTTGCAAACCTGGCTGCAAAGATGTTCTTCCCTCTCTTCATCGGGTGGATCCCATCTCTTCCTAGCAGTCTTTCTTCTTGGAACAACATCCTGTAGTCGAAGAAGCCAAAGCCAAGCTGGTGACACCATCTGCACAATTGTGCAGTGATCTGCAGGTGCATCCACTCCTGCCTGTGCCCTCCCCCTTAACCAAAAAGATCAAGAGAGGAGGAACTTGCCTTCATTTTCCATGTATATTTGGTCCTTGCAGTAGTATAAATTGGTTGGGGGAGGGATGCTGATTCAGAGGGTTTGCCAGAATAAGAAACCCCAGGGAGCCTGTATCTGGGCAGCTTGCACTGAGGCAGCAGCAGCCTCAGCAGGAAGAGGTAAGCGCTTTATTCTAATTTCCCACAATGTGCCATCTTCTCCCGCTTTGCAGAAAGGTGGTAGTAATTCATGGGAGTTTGTGACTATAACTGGCCTGAGAGTGCAACCCATTGAGAAAAATAAGGACATGAAACACCAGAACTAAAACTCCTATGACGCACTGTGGCAGCATTCCCAAATTGCAGTGTATTGGATTGCAGCTCACCACGTCTAATGAAAAGTTTTATATAATCATATAGCCAATTTTCCATTTTTGAACAACCTGATTACATGATACTATTTGCTGTTAGTTTGCCTGGCTTTGGGTTTGTCTGAGATCACCAAATGTATCACATCTGTGCCACTGTCTGTCCTAACTTAAACAATTTTGAAAAATTAGTTTCCCATAGATGATCCTTGCTCATGTTCCAGCTCATTAACCAAACATTATCTTCCCAAAGGCATTGGCATGAGAGTCTCCTCAAGAATAAGATGAAATGTAATCGAAGGTGGAGGAAAAAACATACCACTTACCAGCTAAAAGGGAGAAACAAAGCAAGCAGCATCTAGCTGTAGCATGACCACTCCGGGCTGTACTTGCTTACCTCTGTGAGAGGTACATGGTTGTGGTGGGGAGGTAGGTGAGACATATATCTATGGAGAAAAACTTTGTAAAAGTCCCAGAGGAAGCTGCTTCTGGGTCATGGACTGTGTCTGTCTTGGGATTCCCACTACTGTAACATGGTGGTTTGTTTTGTGTTCAGCTGTTGTGGCTGTTGGCACTGAATTCACAACCCAGCCCTGATGCCCTGCTCCAGGCAAACACAGCCTTCAGACCGACCACAACTCCTCTGGTTGATAATAGGCAAATTTTGTTGATCCACAGTGATAGGAAATGCGAGCAATGCAGGCAAAGCAAGCGAGATGGTTACAACATACATTACCCAGATTCCCCAGTACCCAGAATATACACAAGACGAGCGGTGCGTCCGGCCGGTACATAAATGCTCTGGTGGCCTCTTCTACCTGGAGCAGTCCCCCCACCCCTGACTCCCAGCTCTCTCTCACGCACGCACCCCTGGTGTCGCCTCCCCCAGCTCATCACACCCTCCAAGTGGGTTCTGAGACTAGGAGCCCCCCCAGGCTGGGCCCACATCTCTCACCACCGGGGTGGGCATGGGGCAGGGCTGCAGTGTGGTAGTTGCCCCCAAAGCTGCGGCTCCTGCCAGCAGGTCCCGTCCCATCCCATCCCATCTGGCAGCTGGGTGCACAGGATGTGAGATTTGTGGGAGGGATGTGCAGTTTGGAGAGGAAGGTTTGGTGGGGGTGGGGTTTGTGGGTGGGTGTGTGGAAGCAGAGGAGGAAAATGGCCCTGGCTGCTTTGCATAGGGTCCTGGGCTGCAATCCAGAGGAGGGAGTATTAATGACTGAAGGACAGACTGGTTAGTACTATCCGGAGAAGGAAGAGGCTATGCCAGAGCTGGCTGCAGGTGAGACCAAGCCAGCACATTGGGAATGGCAATGGGGAAACTGAGGCAGATTTGCCACAGTGCCCCATGTAACTGCGAAGAGGCGAGAGTGGTTAAAATTAATATTAACCTGTGCTACTGGCACTGGGATCTGAGGCCCCTCAAGAGGGATGTGAGGTTGAAGATTTCTTGCATTAGATGTTTGGTGTAGACTTGGCCTTATTTACTTTGTTTATTCCAGAAGGGAAGAGGATGCAAGTATGATTTGACCAGTCACGTCCTGAACCACGCGAATCTTGAAGAACAGATTGAAGTGGCAATGCTGCGACATCAGTTTTCTGAGGAAGGGGTGAGTCTCCCTACAAGTCTAATCACAGATTCAAGCTCATTTTATTGTGACTGAATTGAAATTGAGCTATTTTTTCCACTACTTGTGTACTGGGCACCTACAGTCGTAAAGATATTACTGTACTTAAATGCAAAATTTGCATTTTTATCTCCTCTGATGTATGAAAGGTGGTAAGTGAGAGACTTCCTCTGTGCCACGGGAAGGTTGTTGTTTCTTTCCCATACATTCAGAAACACAACCAATGCTGATAGAAGCATTCGTCCCTAACATGGGACCTGATATTGCAAACCCAAGTAGCCCTCTTGTGTTAGCCCGTTACTCACGTACATGGGATTGGGTCCTGGATGGAATACCTCCACTTTTGCATGATAAATGGAGCGCACATTATCATGGCATGTTCCTCTCAAGTAATCCTTTTATTCCTTTTTGAATAATCTACTTTTCTGTTTTGCTATGCAAATCCATCTCTTAAGTATGTGTGCTGCAAGTATCTCGGGTAGTTGAAGGCAATACTGCTTTTTGTTTTCATTGCTTATCCATTTATTCAACAGGTGTATTTTTAGATTATGTACCCTCTATGCAGCATATCACCGTTCAGTTCAGAACAGATTGTATTAATCTCTTGGATTTGTTTCTTTTCTTTTCTTCAGCAGCTGTTTGTTTAACATACTTTCGAAAGGTTGTATAGGAAAGCCTGCTGAACAGTAAATGTATTGGTTTAAAGGGCATATTTTTGTAGTACTGTACTACTGCTGATGAACCTTGTGATATTGTTTAGATACTATAATAAACTGCATTGCTTTCAGTGAAGATGATGGGTTGGCAGATAGCCATCAGAAAAGGAAATTTAGAATGGTCTCCTGGTGAGCATCTTTAACTGTATTTAGAACTCCAGCATGTGGTTGACATTCCCAGTTATTTCCATGGCAAAGCCAGAGGTAAAGGCTTCCTTTGAATATCTCCATGCAGTTTTGTAAAACACCAAGCTTGTCATTTTAGAGGCTGCTCCTGAGGATTTTTATGCTCTAGTTTGAACATACTTTTCTCTAAAGCATTTCAATTCAAACAACAAAAACAAACGCAGAGTGAGAAGCTTCTAGTCAACTCCTGGAAACTTCAGTCTCTTGACACTGGAAAATATCATAGCACTGAAGGCAATCTATGGGTGCTTGTACATATGACAGGGGTTTAATCCCCAAGGTTGCATTCTATGCCCTGTAAATTGAAAGGATGGGTTTTTAATTGAAAACCACTGTTTCGATTTTTCATGTTTCCACATTATGGCTAGGGGCCTAATCCTTTTTTTTTTTTTTTTTTTGTGTTGTTGTTGGAGCCTGCCCACAGCTGGGGGCAAGCAGCCCCGGAGTTGTGGGGGGCACTGGTTCTTCCCTTCGTGGCAGTGGCACCCCCTGGGACTGCCTGGGAGGGCTGCCAGTGAGCCGGGTGCTACCCCAGCCAGCTTGGGGTTGGGGAAGAGTTGGATCAGGCTGGGTGCAGCTTCTGAGCTGGGGCAGCACCCAGCCCACTAGCAGTCCACCCAGGCAGCTCCAAGGGGTGCTGCCACTGGGGAGGGAAGAACCAGGGCCACCCGCAGCTCAGGGGCCATCTGGTTTGCTGACAGCTTATTCCCCAGCCATGGGAGAGGTGGGCAGACTGCTGTGGGGGGAAAAAAGGACCGGATCCCTCTCCCTTTCTGCTTTCAGTGGGAGAGGGATCCGAAGGCAAAAGCAGAAAGGGGCCCAATCCTTTTTTTTTTCTGTGGCGCCTACCCACCTCTCCCATGGGTGGGGGGCAAGCTGACAGCTGCAGTGCATCTTTGCAAATTAAACTGCATTTGGATGTAGTTTAGTTTACAATGATGCAAAGATATTTAAACCCCCCAAAACTCTTGAATGTGTACAATGTGATGCCATTAAGCCACACAAAGTGACATTTTCATCTTGTGTACATGTTAATGTCATCACAGGTGCCCCATGAAAGCAAGTGACTCATGAAAGCAAGTGACTCAGTGTTAAGCACCTGTGTTTTTTAAAGGAGAGAGGGAGGGGAGAGTCTTATGGGGTGGGGGGAAGGAAATCAAACTCCTTGACCAACTCTAACATCAGTCCAAAACTTCATGAGCAACAAAATTCATAGGCCCCAAACCCCTCCCCACCTACCCAAGTTTTATCTACACTTTCCATCTGTGGGCACATTTGAAAATCCCCCCCACTTTCCACCCCCTGCTTTCCCAGACAAATCTCAGTTTCTAAATGTGGGGAAAACAATATATGTGCAAATGATTCAGGTCCAAGGATGTGGGTGGCTTCTAAAGCAAATCTGTGTATGGAGTTTATGTGCATCTGCCTCCAAGCAGCACAAATGAGCCTACACACAGATCTTGTGAGATCTTAACACAAGACTTTTTTTATTCTTTAACCAGCATGTAAGCAAAGTCTTTTGGGGGTGGGGAAGGTGAATTAAAAGTTTAATGTCAGAATTGTTTGGCAGATTGAAGGAGGACAGGATCTTCAGATGTGAACCTACTAGGGAAATGGAGGGGTCTTGATAGTTAATGGTATTAGGTAGAGAATAGTTTTGACCATGTGCGGAACGTTTTGGTGGGGCAAGGAGGGGGATGCAAATCCATTCCAGTCAGTGGCTCTGTTCCCCACATCTGGATCATGTAGGAAGAATGTTTTGTCAGTCTTCTTCCTTTTTTTTTTTTTTTATAATACTGAAGCAACAAGTCAAACTTTCTTCTGATGGTTGGGCCCTCCTACATGTGGCCTCTTGTGTACAGATGTGTTTTGGAGATCTTAATGGTTAGATCATTTTGAGAACGGAGAAAGGAAGCCTTATTTTTCACTGACTGTGACTTCTGTTGGACATCCAG